AAAGAAAACCCATGATAACTCTCACTTTTAATCAAAAAGTGGAATACATTTTTTGTACCGGAAAAAGATCGATATTATTGTGACTTTTCTTATATTGGAAAGATATAATTAGATAGATCTCGGTTCGCATGAACACTTTGAAAGATTTAACCTCCATTTTTCAAATTTAAAAAAAAAAAACTGAAAATCGTCCCCAATTCTAGTCATCTTGGCGACTTTTCTACCAAAATTTTCGTCACTTTGAAGCTTGTATTTCCTGGGAACTATTGATTTAAGATTTCCTGCCAATATACGTCTTACTATTTTTAACGACCTAAATAAATCCAATATGTCTTGACTGACCTACCTCCATTGAAGAAAAAACAGGTGCTTTATTTATGTGTTTCTTGCGTGCCCAACAGAAGAGTGTTTACACTAGATAAAAACCTCCGCTTTCGGGAAACTTGGAAATAGGAATCTTTCAAACTGTTCTCATAATAGATGGTTAATTAGCTTTGACAAAATTTAAATGCATTGGGTTCATTCGAAAAGAGATCGATTAATTACCCCCCTAACATCACCTAAATAAATTTATTTCAGTTCTCTTAATTTGCGCCACAACGAAACCGAAAAAAATTCTCAAGGCTTTCCTATTTTCGGCCTTTCAACAAACAAGCAGTTTAGTCCAGTGTAGCTCAAACATTTGCATAATCATAATATCTTTGTTTCCTAGAAGAATGTACCATTCACTCGACCCTGTGAAGTGACATAACCTCTATTATCTATTTCTCGCCTTAGAGAGAAAGCGTTCAAAAATCTTATTTCGGCAGATGCTTTGGAATGATAATTGCCATTTTGGATGGAATTTTGTTTTCAAAGGTTGAAAATAAAATCAATCAAGGAATTCACTGCAAGACGTCAAAAATCAATGAAAATCAACCCGAAAGATATCAAATCAACAAAAAGTGAGTAATGGTAGAGAGATGTTTACATGACATCGACCTTTAGAGCTCTGCATTAATGTATTGTGGTAGAATCTGGAACGCAAGAAGGGGAGAAAAAACAGATTGGCGGTCCAAAATACATAATTTAACATTGATCGAATAGTGGTTCATTATTCGAAGAGTAATCTAATTCATTTCAGCGTAAATATCGTTACTTGTGTGACGCAAAGAGAGCTGAGTGGCTTTGCAGTATTTTGCATGACAACAAACCCACGGCCAAATGGAACAAAATGTTACGCACGAGTGAATGCGGAACTTTGAAAGACGTGTATGATGGACAGATACAAATGCTTTTAATAAGCCTTATTTATATTCACAACTAATTTGCAAACGGTAATCGAACTACTCGACCCCGCGAAAAGTCCAAGTAAGCAGAGCCTTCGACACGTTTATGCATTAATAAGTTCCCGTTTGGTTGTGACTCGAGAAAGCAACGTTTTTTACTGCGGAAAAAGGAAGCATGACTTAAGAACGTTCAAATGACGGTACGTAGACACGGTATAGTTTAAAAGACTTTCAAACTTTGGCGTCCTTTTAAATCGCGGCAAGTTTTGAAGAATTTCTTATTTGGCTGCCACTCATAATTTTTTTTTTCGGACAGGATCCCAACGTTCTTGGCGTTATTTTGGGGTCAGTTCTTGGTTTTCTGGCGGGAGCCATCGTAGTCTGTGTTGGATATTTTGTTTATACAAAAAGATCGGGGACTTATAGTCCACTTTCACGGGATGTACGTGCGAAGATCGATTACTATTCCGCCTCAAATCCCGATGGCGCATTCCTCGCCGCCCAAACTCGACCAGTTCAAGTCCAACCAAATGTATATACGCTAGCAAAGTCTTCCGCAGAATCTTACCCGGAAATAACCGAACTAAACGATGGTGATCATCGGAGAATTCGCGTAACGAGGCCTTACGAAGCTGGTGCAATTGCTACCATCCCGGAGGACAGTGAGGACGTTGAAGACGGGAGCCCGCGAAGTCTTGAGAGAAACGGGTCGACCGGCTCAGACAAGCCAAAACTATCAAAACGAATGAGTTTACCCACCACCCTTAAATCTGATGGATTATTCAATCCTAACCCAGAAGAATTCTTAAAAAAGAAATTTTCATCAGAGGAGGAGGAATGTCGGCTTGAGTTCTCGTGCTTTTACGACACGGCCAGTCGTGAGTTACACATTACCGTAATTCAAGTTGTTGGGATTTCTACGCCAAACGAAAGTTTCTTACGCCCGCCTAGTTGCAGCGTTAAAATGCGTATATTACCCGAGATGTTGTCGTGGCAGTGGACACGCAGAATTTCACGTACTTCGAATCCTGCTTTCAACGAAACTTTCATCGTTCCTGGTTTTGTTCACAACAAATTACGAGAGTGCACTGTACACTTTGTGGTGTTGGATTTTGATCATGTGCAGGACACTGTTTATGTGATTGGGGAAGTAATCATGCCCTTGTCAGAACTACGAGCTAACAGACTAGAGAAGATTATCAAAAGAGTGAACCCGCTTGCTTTCTAAGTTTATTGAATAAATTTTTTTGCAATGAATTCTCTGACAATAACATGACGATCGGGGCAAAATGGAAATTAAACACAAACAGGAAAAAATTCCTTGTAAATTAAGCCCCTTTATTCATACGCATTTAAGCGAAGCGTTTGAGGAAAGCTATCGGACTCATTTAAAAATTAAGTTTACAAACGAATCACAGCTGACTTACTAATTTAAAAGAGAGTGACGCATTGTTAAGATATATATTTGGAATATTGCGATCTTGACCTAGGTGGTATTTCGTAAATTCGTGAGAGATAGTAACTATTATTTACACGTCATTGTCATTATAATTTTTTCTCGTCACCATACGCATCCAACTGAAACGATTTGCCCCTTGTTATTAAGCAGGTTTACCATTTCATCCTCAAATACAGCAAGAAAAATTTTTGACCAGTGTTGGAATTGTTCGTAATATATTTAACACAATTTGTTTCGTTTTCAATACTGGTTTCTATAATTGTTTAAAAAGAATATCGTTCTAACTTGCATATATTAATTATTGGCGCTTTTTGTTTATTGGGTGGCAGCAAATAAAGTCGTGTTAAGTAATCTCTGACTTAGTGTGATTTTATGAAACCTTAATCCTGTATTTCATCGCTAATAATCCTCCAGGTATGATAATTATGGTATTTTCACAATGAAAATGAAATAAGATGGGAAATCCGTGAAAATTGAGGGAGACATACAATCTTCGACTATTCACTATGAGCTGCTAATACAGCGATGTATTTCACTTGTGTTACGTGAGTGGAAACCGGAGTTTTTATGGCGGTTTGTGAGAATCCAGACAGACAACTGATTGACCAATTATGATATAGTGTATACTGCTGTGATAAAAAAATCGACCCGAGTTCCATTAAAAAATCCGAGATTCGGTCTCGCTTATCAGTCTAGTTAGACAGTCCTTCTCTTCTGAGAAAATCTGATATGAACCGCACAGGGTTTAATATTTGTGTGGGGGAATCTGGGGAGAGAACAAATCTACTCTTGGTGCAAGGTTGGGACATCATGGAGCAGCCACTAATTGGCGCAAAAAGGCATATAGAGCGACTTTTCAAGGTCAAATTAAACGGTTAAAAAGTTTTGTTTGATATCATTCATTTTTTCCTTGTTTTGAAACTACTATGGCGATATGTGATTTGTAACAGGTCATCGGGCTGAAACAGACACATATTTGTCCAGAGCCGGCAAGGTCAGCTGTGGTTTACATAATTCCTCGAGCAATTATAAATAGAAAGTCATTATCAGAAGATGGAGAGCTTAACTGCAATCATGTTTCAAAATATTCAGGTTCAATGGATAAATTAATCCATTGCGGAAGAAATCACACAATTGCTCTAAATTGAGTCTATATTTGGCTGCAAAAACAAATCAATCGGTCACGCAGGCACGCAATCATCAAAAACCTGCTCAACTCCTATAAGACTTATGTACAAAATAATCATCCCTTGAGTTTAAAGGGGAAACTTTTCATTTATCTATAAACCCGTCAATTACTTAAAACTCTACACTGCATCTCCGAAAACATGTCAGATGAAATAGTGAAGGGAAACACACATAGTGATACAAGATGCGAGGATAAGGGGAAAGAGAAGGAATGGCGCTGAGTAAACACATGAAGAATATATTTGAACCAAACAGAAATTTATATTACTAGAAAATTCACCCCGATAACTCAGCTGTTCCATTAAAATAATTTCCCTTCTTAAGCTATGCATGACTAACATAGACAGGGAGAGGAGGAAAGTGAACCGGGAGGGCTCAAGAAGCCGCTCATGCAGACATTACTTCATACCCCCACCGATCACTAAGATTAGTACCGAGAGAAGCATTTTCCCTCTTATGGAATCAATATGCTGACGAGGAAACATTCGTGACAAGAATATGTTACCTCTTGAGTGGAAGCTGGGAAGTTTATCCATAATAGATATATGCGCAATCATCCCGCGAGAGCATAAACAAAAGAATTTTGTTTGTTCAAACATTAACGTCACCGGAAAGCTGTTTGGGTGCTTCGTACATTTTCATTCTTTTCAGTTCCTACGTAGTCCTAAAAGCCCGCGTAACTTCACGATTTCGCCACCATCTCGCGCTAATTTGTGAACTCCAAATTAAATTATGTGAAATTTGAGACAGCTGGTATTTCCCAGTATTACCCTGTGTCTTTGACTCACGCAATAATCATAATCTCAACAAAATCAGAAATACCCCTATTTTCTCTTGTTTTAAGGGAATATAACTGTCAGTAAAAAAATTAAAAGCTTTTTCATTCGCTATTTCCAAAGGAAGTGAAAATTCGAAAGCGAAATGTATTCCTTACAAGGGATAATCTCGAGTATGTTCTCACCCGCAGACTTCCGGTTACTCCTTGCGTGACAGAAAGCATTGTGCTTTGAGAGATCCCATTGGTCTATCCCAAACCGGAAGCAAGGTAGCTCATAGAACACGTAAAAACGAGAACATAATTTATTTTTGACTTGGTGACTTAGCGCGCGCCAATATTGCTTTCGAAAATATGACCGACTACAATAATTTCGAGACAAATATACTCACTTCAATCATGAAATATTTCTGTAGGTAAATTCCATGGAGCAGTGCTCGAGTAAAATTTGGGTTTCGATTCACCAATGGACAGCCGTGTAGAAGTTTCCTAGATGGTTAATCAAGGTAAACTACTTCAATCTAACGTTTTGTTTCCAGTATCAGTGACAATATATTCGACTGCTTTTAATAGTGTTTTAACCTTTCTGTTTTCCTTCTTTATTGTAGTTGTTTTGGCTGTTGGTTTGGGTTTAGTTGCCGGATTGGTTGTGGTCGTTGTTTATTTGCTGATACAGTATTTTCATCAACGTTCTTCAACAAATAATTATAAATACACCCAGCTGACATCTGATCCTACACTTCGCTCGCGGACAATAATCAACCAGGACATTCCACCATTCTATATTCCCCAGGCCGTCTCTGTTCCACAACAACAACCGGCTATCGGAGAACTTCAACGAACTTGTAGTATTTCTAAAGAGGAGTATCGGCATGGCCATGCTCATCTGTCAGCGACAGTTCACAGTGTCAACGTGCGGCGCAAAGCGGAAGATGGAGGAGGCATACAGCTAGATGCAATCAACACTGGAACAATCTCGCCTCCGTCCATAACACCCAAATTGCCAAGAACCCCGAGGACACCGCGAAAAATTTCGCACCCACAAAAGCAATCCTCGAAAGAAAATCTCTCTATTCCGCAGCAAAGGAAAGTTGCGGTTCACAAGAAAAACCCAGAGATAAACTTGGGAAAACTTGAGTTTTCCCTATATTACGATCAGTCTTTTCGTTTGCTGCAAATTTACGCAACCCGTGGGATTAAGATAGTGATTCTGGGAAGCGTACATCCACCTGATATACATGTCGCTGCATCGATAGTTTTAAATGGCAAACAAATTTGGGAACAGAAAACTCGTGTGGTTAAGAAAACGAACGATCCGCAGTTTAATGAAAAATTGGAGGCGTACGGAATAACTCAAGGAAAACTTTCAGAGGGTATGTTACGCTTTCAGCTGGTGAATACTCAAACGAACACAATTATCGGAGAAGTGGAGTACATTTTAAAAGATCTTCCGCCGAACAAGTTAACAACGAAAACTCTTCCCCTGATTCCAGTTGAAATAGATGAAACAGAATGCCCCATCGAGGTATGTGTTTTGAAACTTCTTGAGCGCAGCTAATTACACAATATTGACTTATATTGCGTGACTATTTAATGTCAGTTTTTTATATCACAGATTTAAAAAAAATTCACAAAACTCAAAATTTTTGACGAGTTCGACAAAATCTACAGAAGACCCAAGAAACATTCACTGTTGATCAAGATATCAGAAACAGACGGTAAAAATTAAGTTTATTTAAATGAACGGATGCTTATATCATGTAAAATACCAGAAAGTTCCTCATTCCAATCTATTGAAATTTTTCAAAAGATTCCGTCAGTGTCACAGTTTGACGCGATGCTCTTTTGTTTTGCTCCTCAATTTTGCTGTGTAATTAAAAAAAAAAAAAAAAAAAAACTAATATTGGTTTTTGTAAAAATCTCAGATTTTGGTTTTTTTCTAATGAATTGGAAAAATATACTTTAACTATGCTCCGGATCAAAAGAGCCGGAACCCAAACAATCGAGGGAGAAGATGACATTACGTCAGAGAGGCGACAAACTTGACGCCGCGACGTAGATGATAAATTTTCCTTCTTCGTATAGCTTAGAAACATCTGAGACTTTTCCCCATGTGCCAAAATTAAATAATTCCACACTTCCTTATTTTTTATTTTTTTTCCTCTCAGTTCTCAGGCAGGGATTCATACTTCTATGTTAAAATTTTTCCACACGGTTCATGATCGATATCGCCGTTATGCTGACGCAAACTGGTCGCTAAATTTGGGTTGTTAGGAGTTGATTTAAGCGATATAGGTCTGGAGCACGTTGAGAGACTTGTGCTAATTGCAAAGTTTGTCGACGGTAGGGATGCTGACGCAATGCATTAAAAAAAATAGAAATTTCATCAACAAAATATTTTACAATGGGGGGGTTGTTCACCAGCGTCTGAATGAAATTTAGGAAGATATTAGGGATTATATAAAATACACATTTTAAACTCCCCCCCTCCACTCTTGTTAAGTCCTTGCACGAATGCAGCAGCTGTTTTATTCACAGCAGCGACAAAAAAAAGAGAACTTAGCAGAAAATTTTTGATACGAGGACAGCAACTGAAAAAGGATAAAATTAATTCTTACGCGCTTGACGCTGATGGTTACGAGCGACTGTGAAAGGGTCGTCTTAAACTAAATTGGGAGGACCATAAAGGTGGAGAAAGAAGTTTTGTCTTCTGGTTGCGGTCTGAAGAACATTTTCCTTTACGGAAACCTCATGACCTACAATTGAGCGCTTTTTTGGGCTCGCTTTTATTTCGGGAACATAACTGGGAGAAGCAAAAACCATCGAGTCCAAGCCACTTAGGTAGCCGCTTTTGACAGTCAAGTGTTCGCTTCCGTTGAGTCTAACAAGCTCACTTTTTACATCGGATTGATAAATGTCTCGGCTGGTTTTTAGTTAATCTCATCCGTCAATATTTCAGGCAGAGACGCACTCCGATGTTTTGAGTTAATGATGTCAGGCAGAAACAGATTTCACCATTGCAATCACATCTTAGTTATCGAAAACGGACAGCTATACAGCTATAGTCTGTGCATGCGTGGCCATAGTAGAAGGGGAAGCGAAAGAAGAGAATGAGCTTCGCCCTTAAAGCAATTTTGCCCTCTCCATCCTCTCCCCCCTCTCTACATCACCTTTTCTACGTTGGCCGTGTAGGCATGGAAAGCAACGACTAAGCATTTGTATCGACCCCCCCCCCCCCCCCCCCCCCCCCCTTTGACAAGAAAACGGCCCCTCAGGCAAAAGTTTAAAGCTAAGTAAACCATGGAGAAACTCGAGAGGGTCGTCCATCATTGACCTTTGCTATAACCTTCCCGGCTTATCTTTTTCTGACTTTGTTTGTTTTCAGGAAGAAGTTGAAGATTTATCCTCTGAGCTTGGCGAGCTATCGATTTCTTTGTGTCACAACCCGACGGATCAAAAACTAATGGTGAAGGTAAACTGTGCCAGGGGCTTACAACAGATTACAAAGGACGGGAGACTAAGTGAGTAGCCCTTCCAGATAACAACAACAATAACAAAGTGTATAAATAAATAAGAGAAAGAAAGATAATAAAACAAGATAATTTTTTTACAAACTCTCTCTACCATAACGAATGATTAATAACTTCTTAGATTATTTTCATGGATGATATATCGGAGTTTTCTCATATGTTGAAGCACAAAGTATCAAGAAAAATGCTCGATTAAGACACTCAATTGTACATTAAATGAAAATGGTTGAATTTTTTAGATACCTTATTTAATTGCAGTGAAATATCTTTGTGCAGTTCGATCGACATGTCCTTTCGGCTCGCCAAACACTGTTCAAAAACTCTTGGAAAAGGTTTGGTAATAGCGTACAGTTAACGTCGACTGTCGGTATCTTTTTTCAGATCCATTTGTGAAACTAGATCTCACCTTCTGTGGACGGAAGCTTAGCACTCGGACGACAAAAACTGCTCATAACACCAAAACACCAAACTTCAGCGAAATGTATGTGTTCGATGTGGACTCAGACAAACTGCCTCAGATCACGCTGTTCTTCAAGGTTAAGCATCGTGGTAGAGTGCGTGACGTTCCCTTGGGCACGGTGCATCTTGGGTATTGCGTGAATGTCGAGAGCGAATACAAACACTGGGAACAAGCCATGGAAAAGCCTCACCTTGAAATAGAGCAATGGCACACTCTCCAAGAGTATTTTATTGAATGATTGAATTTCTTCGTCCTTCGACAGTGAGATGAATTACACTGAAACTTGTAAAATAGACTTAATTGAATTTATTTGGGTGAAATATGTATGGCCTGTGGGAGAGCTGGGTAGAATCTAGATACCATAGGGAAAATTTTTAATAATGAAATAATCAGGTGGCAAAGCTTACAAAATGCCATGTGCCTTGTTTATATTTTGCTCTGAAAGAGAAAATTTCGTATCATTATCATAATTTAAGGTTCTCAGAGCACACGCGCACGAACGAACATGAAGCGTGCGTGTCATCAATTTTCTTCCAGCCTGAACGGAAAAGTCGCTTGTAACGTGAATGAAAAGGACTATCTGGCTCCTTTGAGCCCTTTGGGAAGAGGTTAAATCAGCGTGACCCTTTTAAATTATACAGAGTGTATTTGCAAGGAGGAGAATGCTAATATGTGGTTTAATCTCTTTTTGGAAAATCATCCGTGAAAAGAGATCTATTTTGGTATGTATGGGAGTTACTCGGTTGAGTGAAGTATTTTATGCAAAATGATTGACCTATTTTTACTTTGTTCATTAAAAAAAAAAACAGAAAGAAGGAAAAAAAAACTTCGTAGATATGACGCGATCCTTTCGCTCCTTGCCATTAAAAGAGGCTCATAATATAGTGGCGAGTTTTTATCTAATTTACAGTCATTAGTACAAACGATGACAATTCGTAACACTGTTATGACCAATAAAGTTTATCAGCACTGTGATAAACTGCGTCCCTCTTTTGGTTCAATGAGTAAATCCCTCTGGTGACGGGATTACATTTTCATTTATTTACAGTAACAGGAAAGTGCACCGGGAATCCTTCTGTGACGCATAAGATGAACGATTTGTGACAAACATTTCCATGAAATATTAATTGACCTTTCTCATGTAACAGACCATTTAAATACAGATGAAATTTCTACCCTTACTTTCTGGCGTAAATTACCAAAATCTTGCAAAAGCTACTGAGAGATATATTACTAAAACAATAAATAAAAACCACTTGTCCTCGTTTTTTAGAAAGGACATCTTGAACTTGGACTGTAAGTCTATATGAGTGGTAAACTGCAACACCGCAACACCGCTTTTTTCTCGCTTTCACGCTGCCTCCTAATCAATGTGCTGCACGTTTATTTATAAGCTTTTTTTTTACGGTTACTAATACTGTCCCTTAATACATCTCGCTTAGCTACTGGTGATAAACTGATGTTATGGTATTGTCTTTCCCCGCAGTCTCATCGCCTTCAGGTCCTTGATAGAACTTCTCTTTTCCAAGGATTCGCAAGCCAATGGGACGCAAGACTTGTTTAAGGTACCCATGAACGTTCAAGCCTCTTGCTCCTAGCGTTTGAGGGGCCATGTTGTAAAAGCTCTTCAGTGGGGACATGAGAGAATCAGCCAAATCATGATCCACAATGTCAGCGTAACACGATACCCAAACACCGTCCACGATCATGGTCCCTTCTTGGGTAACTGGTGCAAAGGCACCAAATCTTTCAGCCGTCGAGACTGACATAACCTTCCTTGCAATAGGAGCATGGTACGTTGGAACGTGAACGAGGATGTAGTCACCTGGTTTGATTTGGGATGCATGCACCGAGCGAAAGGTATTCCCTCCCAACTTAGCACTCAGAGGTCGGAACTCGAACACAAGATGAGCCTCACTGAGTGTGAGCTTGATGTAGTCTTCAGTAGTGATGGTGTAATAATGACCTGTGTAGGGAAGAAAATTTGAGCTGTATCTGTATCTTAAATGTTTTGTCCTTGAGAGTCTTTTCAAATACAAGTCTCCCAGGACTTTTATTAGTACCAAAATAATATTGGTTCTGTAGCAAAAGAGAAAAAAAAAACAGAATGCAATTGGTGATTAAATCTGAAATATGAGAATTTGGAAGCCAATCAGATTACAAGGATAACCAGTCATTTCCAAGTAAATGTAATAACGGCAAACACCCTGTCAAGGAGAACTTAAAAATAAATAAAAAGTTTAGGAGACAAATACAAAGATGTAGGAATAAATTATTCAAGTGTACCACCTACCCTTGTGGTCAGGCGCTTGATCCAAGAAGGTAACCACATGACTAAAGACAACTTCGCCACCCTTAGAAAAGGTCTTGACTGTGTCTCCAATGGCGAGCTCACTGATGGGAATCTTCTTCCCAGATCTGACCTCTACTTTAGCTTTCGAAGGGAAGCATGTTCCCCCGCCTGATTGCTTAACGTTGACGTCGATTACACAGCCATCTGATACAAAGGGGAAAGATTCATTAGCTAATTTACTTAGGTGTTTGACAAGCTATAAGCCTTGAACCGTAATTTGCTTGATGAGGAAATTTCGACGGAATCAACTTAGATGGACGGGTTAGGGGACAGACTTTTCCTTAAGCTTTGTTCACTGATATGGGTAGCTATTTAAATGATTAGAATTGATACCAAATATGTTTTCGATAGCAGGGGTCGAAACCACCAATACTTAAAGAACATTTCTGCGTCAGCTTTGCTCCCGATATTTTTTTCCCAAACTGTAAATGCCCATCTAATTATCTCGTACCCAGACCACGTACGGCCAACCGAGGCAAGCTTTCAAATTGGAGGGCTCCTCGGCTAGGGTCAGGTCAGCAAGGATAGTCTACATGATAAAATCATTCAGCTCAGGCACTCTAATTGATTAAATCCCTAAACCCAAATGTTACTCCGACGTGCATCTTCCACTTACCTGTGGGAGCAGGCCACAGCTGAGCAGATATGAAATTTTTGTGTTTTAGGACACCTTTTGCTTGATGAAATCCATTCCCGTCCCATAACAGAACGCTACAATCTTTGCTGTCATCTCCATCTTTGATGTCAACGAACATTATTCCCACTTGCCCTCGGAAAACTGCGGTATTGTTAGATACAATAGGCTTACCAAATTCTTCCTTGAGGTACTCTAACAGAGGTGCTCGTTCATAGAAATAATGGTAGCCTTTCAGACCTTCCTTGCTTCCGTTCCTTTCTGTTGTGACGTTTAACACGGCGCTCATGCGCAATATGCATGTGGCGTTTGGATAGAATTTGAGCTCACGACTGTCTTCTGGGAAAAGGTACTCTTCAACATTCAAGCGGTTGTAAATTCCTCCATAATTTTTATCGCCAAGATACATTTTTTGAAGGATGGAGAAAGATGGCAGCATTTCTGTAGATGCAATGAAAGTGTTAATGTCTTGAGACCGTAAAACTTTACACTTCTTACACACATATGTTTACATATTCATCGTGTAATAGAATTCACTTTGCTGCGGCCATAACCTCGGTTCGAAATAAAGAGAGCACAGCGGGGCTCCTGGTCAAAGAACTTAAAAATTTTCCCGCGCAGATCTCCTCATTTCAAAGGGATGTGGGATTTAATTAGCGTTCGTTGAAAGAAATGAAACAGGCACTTCTCCGAAAAAAACCGATTAAGTTTCCATCGGCCGGCTGCTTTTTTCGCATCTAATACGTCTCATTGATTTCAGTAAACGACGGCAGATTGGTATACGGAACCAGGCAGTGTATATTCATACAAAGTATTGGTATCACGAGACAATGAACATAAAAACTTGTCTTTATATCATGGTGCGGATACCGAATTACGAGATCGCCAGAAAGTCCTCCCGTACCATTAGCCCTCAATGAAAATGGAACCACCACGAAAGTAACTAAATTGCGCATAAAGAAAAATGAAAAAAAGCAATGCAGTAAGGTACAGTTAAAAGCATGTGAAAAACGTTTCCTGAGCAAAAGACTGTAGATGCAGCACGGAAGAGCAAAAATTCTAGTTAGCTTCAAAACTTAAGTTGGTGTATCGTATAAGGCTTCTGAGCCTAACTTATTTCTCATGAATAGTAGGTGGTGTCCTTATTTTAAAAACTAAACCCTCGAGGTCACAGTGGTGAATGGCAGGATTACAAGATCCCACGAAAGGCTTAATCGGGCTTAGTGATGTTTACATAAACCCCGCTGTGTATTACTAACTATGCGGCTGCCAACATCCACACTTAAGGGAGCCGATCAAACCGCCACAAATAGAGCATACAAGGACACTAATACTTACTGGTAAAGGCCACCGGAATATTAAGCACAAGGAGTATCGCCACCATCACCTTCATGTTAGCCTCTTTTGTTTTTTCCTTCCTAAGCGGAGAAACGAACGAACTGCAAACAAACTCCTACAAATGCTGAAATGAGCTTTGAACATTGGCAGCGCTGTGTCATACTTGGAAACGTTCATAAATTATTAAGGAAGAATGGTCTGTTTTCGTGCGGTTCCCCATAGCATCGCAGGTGGCTTTATTTATCTTTCGGGCAAACGAAAAATACGTTTTGCATTTCGTGAATGTTTCCCTTGGAATAGAGGTTGATGGGAGTTGTCCGTTTTCAAATATTCTGCCAGGGACAACAAATGTTTCGTCATTAACACCTAAATTGTGCTTTATTTATGGAAAAAAAGAGCTCGAGGTCGCAAAAAAATTGAATTGTTGAACTAGAGAGAACTGGCAGGCAAAGTTGGGTCAACAACTAGATGGTGTGAAACAGTGGCAGATTGTTCAACTCCACATAAATTATTCACACATCAATGTTACTCAGGGCGTTTTTCTGGCTGAGAGCCATACCACAACCTCAATGTTTTACACAATGCACGCAGCTCGGCTCCACGACAAAATTCTCTGACAAGCCTCGCCTTTACGGTCTCTCTCCTCAAACTTAAGGTACAGACACCAAACATATCTAATAAACTTTTGAAGAAAATGGATTGGTATGGATTTAGAAAATGGATACCGAAAAAACATCAATTTCCAAGAATGAAATATACAATAAGCAGGACATTTTATTTCATATAGGTTTTACAATTAAGTGTCTGGTATCTGGGGCAGTTAAATTCAGGACCTTAGTCTGTACTTATCGTTTTTCGAAAAACAAATACAAGGTTCTTTTCAGTAAAGAAGGATATTTCATACACTGCTCATAAAAAAATTCCGCAAAAGCTGCATACTTAAAGTCTGTTTTATGGAAGCAGAAGCGCCTCGCAAAAGATGGACATTCTGAAGTCAACCCTGAAAAAAATGATTACAAAAATAACGATAAAGTAATAAAAAAGGTCAACAGCCGTCGAAACAAAGTAAAACACTGCTTGACGAAAAACTGAAATTCACCGGATAAACTGCGGACATAAATTTGATACAACAAATAGCAACAGTACAAATTTCCATTGATCACCATTTCGTACACTGAAAAAATAAAAACTTGAAAAATATGACCAAAAATAATTTAACTTACCAAATATAAGTTACCTATGTATCAAGGCAATTTTCCCGAAGCCTTCGTTACATTACAATATTTACAAAGTGAATTCTATGACACGATGAATATATATATATATATGCGTGTAAGAAGTGTAAAGTTTTTTGGAAGTGTAAACGGACAATACGAACATACAGAGAGAAAAAATAATAAGAAGCCAATTAAAAACCAAATAAAAATTAAAAACCTAATTAAAAACCTTTGCACGAATTGAGTCCGACTGCACATCGAGAGTGGGTCTCAGTTCTTGGATAAAAAATATTTCATAAATTAGGCAGTCAATATATATTCATCATGACATTTTTACTATTCACTTGAAAATGACCGAAGTTTGGTCGAAACGTCGTGTTTTATCGTTCATACAAATCCTACGTGTGTAGCCCGAGGAGCGACAATCAGATTACTTCTGCTGATTAAGACTGACTTGAGATTGTTCGGTTCATCTCTCAAAGATTGCAGCCATAAATCGAATGTCGGCGGGTTCCCATTTACCAGGCGCGTCTTCCTCGTGAACAAACATCAGCGATTCCTCCTTTAAAGTCCAAGGCGAACATTCGCCTGTCTGACGGCGACAAAAACTGTAATACCTCGCACTCTGTCGGATCCGTGTTACAACCACATAATGGTGCTGGCCATGTTTACTGTTGTCTTTACTCACAATAACTGGGTATCCTTTTTTCAGAAGATCGATGATCAAGTTTTTCCACGAGCCTGCCTTGCCTCCATGGTATCCTCGATGAATAACTTTAAGCTCTCGTCCCGGGACTTTCTCAAAGGCTTTCTTGATTCGCCCCATGTGAGCAGGGGAGGTTACTCCTCCACCATGGTGTGAACAATGCGATCCAAGCACGGAAAATATCCGTTGCGTCATGTTTTCTACCGATGTGTCCATTGTTAGAGGTAAATGAGCGGGCCAATCCAACATATTGTTCAGTGGTCTGTAAATGTAAGAAAAATTAGAGAGGATTAACCTAAACATCCTTTATTCATTTCCACACTTTGAAAATTCATGGTGTCACTTTCGTATGTAGAAAGAAAAACACCTTTGGATAGACTGTATATTGGAATAATGAGGACCTGGGATTGATTTAGTGATAAGAACAATTTTTTTCTGGGGGTGGGAGGAAGGTTTTAGCTCTTTGAAAATTAACAAAACTCCGACTACTCGAACAAACAACATCATTCGCAACACGTCTTCACGTTTTTTCCTGTTTCTTTTCCCCCCCTGAAACCCACTATACTGATTCGCAAGCCAACGTGACTATGTAACATGCTGTCTCTGTTTGCTACGCTAAATCACTTCAACTACTCACGGATAACTTGAATTGTAAGTTCTAGCCGCCATATTATTGAAGTAACCGAGTATCTTTGCCCACGCCACTGGACCCGAACCTGTCGTACACTGGCCATGATGATGCTGACGATACTTTGGGAGCAACTCTTCATGTGGTATTCCAAAGTGCTTGTTGGAGAAAGCACGCCGATGCCTTCTATTCTTCAAAATAATTCCATAGTTGATAACCATGGTCTGAGTCCCACGGGTCCGCAGTTCTACTTTAAAACGTATTTCCCTTCCACCGAGGTTTCTCCGAACAAAATTTTCGTCTGCGTCAACTTTAACTTTGATAAAACGATCGCCCGTCTTCGTCAGTTTGAAGAAACGTTTGCTAACCATACTGATATCTACATTTCCGTCACTATCACACAAATCACTTAAAACGCGACAAAGTCGTTTCTGCCAACGTTTCTTGCCGCTCTTTGCTTTTATCCAATCACCATCCCGAAGGCCGACGAACTTGACACGAACATCACGAAAGCCCTCGCCGAGAGGAATCCGAACCGAGTCGCCCGGTTGCAGTCCCAGCTCTGCTTTGAAACCATCTTCAGTTTCTTCCACTTCGAAGTTATACTCCGTTTCTAGGTTAACAGATGATTCATGTGTTGGCGAGGTTGTGATTGGTTCAACTAGAGTTGTAGGCTTTGTGCTAACGTCTGAAAGCAAAAAAAATACATTCAAACGGCAGGCAATCACGTCCTAAACACTAAGAATAAGTCTTAGCATAAATAAACATTAATGGCGACCATTAAGACTAAAAGATCCCGTACACAACATACATGTTACTGTAAAAGAATGGCCTAGCGACAACCAACCGACAATCGGTAAACAGTCGGTTGATTGTCGGTCGACTATCAGCCGACATTTCTTTTCCGTGTTGAGCTGTCTATCACACCGCCCATTAACCCAACTCTTAAACAGCATACGTGATGAGTCCTTTTTTTTGAAAGAGAGTTCCAAAGATCGGCAGAGGGAGAGGGAAAGGGGAGACAAACCTGAGGTTTTCCTTTTGTATACAGAGACTCGATTTCCTCCAAAAGTTTCATAAGCCACTAACAAAAAGTGTAGAATAAAGCAGTGGGTGGGGGTACACGGTCACATCATTCATTACTTACCCCCTACCGCCATGGACAGCCACTCGAACCTGTTCCACTCTGGCGTCTTTTTCAAACGCTCTGCTTGTTCTTTCCATTCTCTCTCCATGTTGGGTAACTTCCTCGTTACTTGTTTGTCCAGGTGTCTCCAATCAATATCCTATGTAACAAGAACGCATGAGAGCGAGCACACGCAATGGGTACAGTTTCCCACTATTTTCCATTGCGAATTTTGATTCATATCAAACGGAATCGTTTATCTGATACTTTTCTTCTATTTTCTACATGACGATGAATTGATATTGCGGGGAGATGTTACTTATCAGTCACATTAGAAGTGAGATGGTCCAGGCACCTCCTCAGTTAGCCTCACACAGGTTATAGTGCGATGGAACTATCATTTTCTTTAATTCTCTTAAATTCGCCGCAAACATACCAAATAATCGTTTATGCCTCTAATGCGGTTGCAACGAACACAAAGAAGGAACAAATTGTTTCCGGGGTTGTTTACAAATACTTTGCACACCGAAGATCTCTCGAGCCGTTAATGACTTCTTTTGCTTTAACTTTTTGAAATTGTTTTTCCGCAGAGAAAAAAAAAAGATTTTTAATATGGCTATCACAATTACTGGTGGACCCAGTAGTTTACATTGTGGGCCAGACAACATGAAAGAGAGAGTAACAAATACACCAAATAAACATAGAGTGCTTGAAAATCCCGGCTGACGGGAGGCAAACCAGTAGGCTTTCTACACAGCACAGCTAAGGAGTCGACCTCGGGGCGATCGAGAACAATCCAGTGAGTGGCAGGGTGGAGGACTTGAACCTAGGACCACCAGATTACAAGTCCAGCGCCCTAACCACTCAGCCACGCCGCCCTATTATATGTGACATCCATTACCTTAATCCCGACTTCTAAATATCTGTAACTGATCTGTTTTTCTTATGGAGAACCGTCAGCCTTTAAGTTGGTAAAAGTGTTTGAACTATAGAGTTGGTGATCTTAATCACTAAAATCCTATGTTAATCCTTAAAACCATACTTACATATTATACGTAATCTTCGTTAATCATTGTAAGTATGCCAAAAAGTGTTATCGCGTTACTTAAGCCGTCGGCAAAAAATGACTTCCATTATCTCGAACTGTGCTAAACTCTTATGATTACCATCTCCCATTATTCTCCTCTCGCTTAGCCTGTTCATTGTCGACCACGTCCTCGATTACGATTTTCTTTTAAGACCTATTTGACAGCTTAGGAAAGCTATGGCTCTTCCTTGAAAAATGCTTTCATGCGGCCTTGATGTCTTCATCTTCCAAAATGTTTTATTATTGGCCTTATCTGGGGGGCCTACAAGAGTTGCTCGGCTCGGTGGGACTTCTCTCTCTCGCGCATGTGCTGGTCTGTTTTGCCCAACGGCTAGAGTTGCGTATGGTTTTAATTCAAGTCATGGTTTTAGCTTATAAAGGCTCAGAAAAAGGTAAAAAAATGGTACATACGGTAGAATCTGTATCAATGTTCCTTGTGATGGCGACCATTTTGTTTACATCAGTATCTTCACATGCCATGAGACCATCAGGTCTTAGGCGATAGACTCTGTGACAGCCATATCCATGACTGTTGGCTTGGGCTGTAAGTAGGTCTGAAGGACTTGGTAAAGATCCTTCTTCAGCAAGACGATGATCTCCCGTCTGTCTAGCTGTACAAATAACAAAACTTCATTCATCATTCACACAGCTCTTCACTGTTAAGCCACTGCTACCAACAGCCAATAGTTTCATTTTGGTTCAAGCTATTCAATCCTATTCCAGCTGTTTTGTTTAACCATAGCATACTAGGCCCTTATAAAAACTGTAGTTGATAAGTACCAAGTCACATCTCGCTTGTAAACTTAACTCTAAGCCCTATTTTTCAGCATATAAATGTGTGATAACTGGGTCCTCTCATCACACAGCAGGCACAAGAGCCTATTAACCACACATTCAGCTGTTCTGTTTATTAATTTACCCAGAAAACCACAAACAGTTTAGCTTCATGAAATAAAGCCACTTTGGGACGAAATTAGAAGCTTTATACCTGGCCAATTACTAGTATATGCTCTCTCGTTCAGTTTATTCATGTAAATTTACACCCATTAAAACAGCTTTTGGTGTAACAATATCACCACTTCAAATTCAAATTTGGTTAAAGTGTTCTTTATCTAAGCAGTGTTTGCTTTTTTTTTTAAGTCAGAGATTAGCTCTTCAACTCAGCTAAAATAACCAGAGTTGGTGCCCACATTATTGAGGTGTTGCCTGATTAGAGGTGCCTAAATGCAGTGTCATTCTAAACAGGATGTTATACACTCTATGAACACAAACCGGCTGAGATGATCACATATTTTTCTCCAGTTTTTCCATTGATTTTCGCTTCCCAGTATGCAACATAATTATGTGGGAGATCCTTCCTGAAAATTGGCCTTAAACCCATGATGTCATCTTGGCTGATAGCATCTGACAAAGTGTAAAATTCCTCCTGAGTTTCCCAAGAAACATCGTCTGTGCCGCACCAAAATGTACTGGAGGATTCTGAATTATTTAATACCCTTGGAGGATCTGTAATCTTGATGCCATCTTCACCATATTTCCATTGCATGGATCTGTTTTTGTCCCTGTGAATATGAAATAAAATTAAATAACCATGTTCAAGAAAATTGACAGTCGCTCCAAATAGATTTATAAATCGATTGCTCTTTGTAACTTTTTTTTAATCTTGTTCTTAGTGTCTGAATCACCACTGATTTCATTAATAACATGTGTCAGGCTCTTAGAATCAAAGCAAATTTGCCAGAAATTTCCACAATTCTAAATTAAAAGGTCATGTTCATGCATCACTTTATAAACAAAGATGGCATGCAATGAGTCAAATGAAATATTGATTTGCCATCTGTCTAGAACAGTATCTTTCTCCCTTTAAATATTGCCTTTTTTCTTTCTTTTCTCTTTTGGCTATGCACTGTATTTCTGCATCAAGGAATACAAAACAAGTGAAATCTCTCAAGACCCTCTTACAATTGTGGAATTTGTTCAAGAACAAAAGGAAATACTCATACTCAAAGCTAATCCATGAAGGGGAAACATCTGATAACACTTAATATGCTCATATCTAAATTTTTTCTAATAAATCCTCCTTAACTTTCTGGTTTTACCATCTGAAGACCTCTTCATATAGTCTAGTCAGACTGGTGGGTCAAAATTTAAAGACTGCCCCCTTCTAATCTTTCTTTGCTGAAATCTCTGAGTGTTTACAGCAGAGGTTGGCTAACCCTGTTGCCAAGAGGCTAGTTTTTACAGAGGCCACAACCTTCACAAGGCAGGAAAATTCCCCATATATGCACAATAAACTAGTTACCAGGATGACATGTAAAATATTGCAAATTGTTCATGCAAAAAATTAAGTGAGTCAAGTTCTCATTTTAACAGGACTATGTCTCCATTCAGTAGCTAAGGTGGATCCATTCAGTAGCTGAGGTGGATATGAATCAAATACAAAGACTTCTCATTAACCAAGCTTGCCCTACTGCCCAGCTCTGATGACGGGGCTCTTCATTGGTTCCATTCATCCTTTGATATTCCTGCTATTGTAACATAAACTGGCATGTGCCTCACTATTGAATTATAACCTTATCTTTTGACAAGCCACTGAGTAGATCCATTCATAGATAATATTAATCCATAATGAAACCCTATGAAACAATGTCTGACAGGTTTTTTCATTAAATTGTGTTGATTTCATCTTGGGCAGAATCAAAATGCCTCTGATCTGACTTACAAGAGGCTTAATCCACAGAGACAAATTACTTTAAAAGCTAGGTTTGCTCTTTTATCTGGTTATGCTTAGCTTTAATTAGAAAGGTAAATAGTATACTTGATTGGGTATGCGAAGCATTTCCCATTGGTGCATTACTCTTGTTACAATCTTAGAAAATATTGTTCTCAACTTTTTGGTAAATGTTAAGCATCAGAACAAAATGATCAAAGATCCTTGCTACATGGATAATTCAAAAGTAAAATATCTTTCATTAACTTTGTCCCAAGAAGATCCAACTTACAGTTGGATGCCACTGAGCAGTACAAAAACAAAGTAAAGTGGGCTTTTTTCAAACTCTTCATCTGATCAACTTGTGGAATTCAAACCCTAGATCCATAACAACCCACAAAGCAAAAATCCACTTATAAAATTAAGACTAAGGTTCTTTCAGAGAAACCAAAGCCATTCAACTCGCGTGTAAATCAGCGCCGCTAATTCGATTCCCTGGGTGGCATTAGCTCTAAAGGACAATGACTCAGAATAAAACGACGCGTTTTTCTTTGAAGCTTAAATGCCGTCCAGCACAAAGAAATAAAATGCACTTAATGACTTCATTACGCAGCATCTTTAGTTTCGGGGAATCAAATAGAACTTTTAGGATATGTAACTGTGAAGTCTCGGAAATCAATCGCACCTACCGAGGATCGCAAAGGTGTAGACAGAGGGTAGAAACCCAAGGTCTGTTTGGTATTGCCCGCATAGGATCTAGGTGACTCAGAACATTAATTACAATAACAACAAGTTTTTTGTCGTCGTCAACAGAGAAAAGACTCCAGTAATTTGCAGGTTAATTTCGTAGTCAATAAAAGTAATTAGGCGACGCATCAAAATGGACTTTCATTGGCCGAGTAGCGGTGAAAGTGGTAGGGTTCCATCAGATAACATGAGGTGCTGAAGGCGCTCGCAGTGATCTTTTATGCGCCGACATATTAAATTTACCTTTTATCTTTACGACAATTTCTTCCGGAAAAATAAAACATAGGTTTTACCATGCAATTATGAGCTTGGGATGTCTTAGCGGTTTCTTCAGGTTTTATCGCCTCAATGACACAAATGAGAGAGAGCCAGCGGATCAAAATCCAAACAGACCTTTTGTGTTTGAAAAATGACTACATTCAATAAATAAAATACAGCACTCTGCGGGAAATAGAGTACAGCAATCGTGCAGTGTGAAATAAAGCATTTACGTCGCTGCAGGCCAAGGTTACAGGACAGTGCATACAGAACAAATAAAAAAATTAAACGTTGCATATTTGATATTGATACTTTCCGATCCTGAAAGTGTTTACAAACCCGCTTTACTGAAGAAAGACCACTCACCGGTTCGATTTCTCGATTGAGTAGACAACCAGGAATCCTACCAGTAACACCAATAACAGGAGAGTTACGAAAACACACGTCCGCGGAGGTCTTCGTCGTTCTGTGCGTGTAAATTCCACCACGACTGGTTCCTTTGCGACTTCGACGTTACTCTCTTCGACCAGGTTGACTTGCACCGATCCGCCAGACGGCGGCTTTTCGGCGGCGGGTTTCGTGACTGCCTTAACCATTTTAAGTTCCTTTAAATTTACTTGCTATAAGGGAGTCAAAGTACGGCAGACTCCAACGGCAACTTCTCTTGCGGTCGTTTGTCTGCTCGTTTGCTCTGCTGCATATTTTATAAAACCTTCGATATTTGATCTTTACCTTTTGATTATGAAAGTGTGAAATATTGACAAGCCAATCAACAGCTTTCCGCAGGCGGAACCGGAAATGGAAAAATAACAACGTTCGGGCCACTCACGCGCGCGGCGGTTTTTCTATTCTCTCTCTTTTCCTTTTTTTTTCTCTTTTTGATGAAAATTTACTTCAAAAACTTCTTTCAACAATTTTTTGGTTTTTCTAAAAGGATCTTTTTAATAAAAAAATGCTGTCCGACTCCTTGAAAGGTCCACCAACTTTGCTTTTGCGTTTGCTTGTCAAAGAGTAAGACTTCCGTTGACCACCTATTATCAAAAACATTCCTTTCCCGAGGGTAAAATCTATTGTTAGAATGAGTCGATTAGTTAAGTGGGAAAAGTGAAAAACAGGAAACCCACTTTTTAACGTAAACTGAGACCAATGAGTTTTATCATCAAAGGAGGGAAGCGACTCCTGTTAGAACTCTCTCTAAATATAATATATTCCAATTATTTAGAATGAACATTCGCGCCGATTCATGCGAGTTTCGATACTGCATTATCTTGAATTAAGACTCAGTCAAATAAAAACTGGCTTCCCTTTGGCCAAGTTCTGTTTGAAATATTTTAAAGAGGAAGACCAACGAAGGAGGAGAACAAACAACAACAAAACCACTTATAGGAAGTGGTCGACTCAACTCTACCAGATCTCCACTGATTCCGGATAAACCAGATTATACTTCAAAGTCACCTCAACTGAAACTGTATATTGAACAATGCTGAATTTAACAGTTTAAGCCGCACAAGTTGGAACTGTCATCGAACAGAGAATTGTTTTAGAGAATCAAAAAACTAATCTGACAAAGATACCATAATTATAGTCTAGAAAAGTAGCACAAAGAGAGGGTCTTCCTACATAGTAAGTCATAGTCTCAATGGTATACGCCTCTCTTATTGCACTGACCCGTACAGTTTTAGCTGCATGGAAACACTTGCATTATTAAATTAAAAATCCTTCTCTGATTTTGGCGTCCACTCGTTCGCATAACGAGTTCCACGTGTGTACTTGAAAGTCAGTTCCCCGCTGGAAAGCATGCTTGTACTGCACATACGGAACATCTTGACTTTCCTTTTACGTCCTTTAATCAAGATATATTTGTTTGACAAGTCTAAAAGATATCGTGCTGTTCATGAGTCATATCGGATTTAATCCCTCTGATCTCCAAAGTAGTCAGTCTAATAGATATCTGACTTTTGATTACTGTAATAAACTGTCCTTACGCTTTTCTCTCTCGGCTCTACTGAAATAGCTGGCTGCAATTTATTTCAGTCATTGGAGAAATCTATCACCAGGTAATTATTAACTGCAAGCACTAGATAAACTGGCGATGATAAAAACGAAACCGAATGCCACAGGAAGAGAACAGTTCCAAGCCTTTAAAACCATCTGCTGATTTTGACATTTGAAATCGACTGAATGAACCAAACGATGGGCGAAGTCGGTGGAAAGTGCCGTGCAAAGAAAACAGTGAGTGCTTAGGCATGTTTGTTTTCGTCGCAGCTTAAAGGGATAGCTGGTTCTTACCCTGTTAATACTGAGGTAAGTTCTGTGACGAGTGCTGGAAGAAGATCCCTTATTTCGTTCAAACAGCTGGAAAAAGTAACAGTAGCGTCAACCAGACGCCAGCGAGTTTCATCGCATTATGGATCTCTCAGTAAAGAGACAACAGTGGCACGAGCTACTTACATCCGTTTTAAATCATTTACATACGAGGGTTTCTGGAAGGTTATGTATTTTACTGATAACAAATTACGAAAAAATCGTGATGAGAGATTCTCATTTTATCGATGAGAGCCGGAAAATGAGCGAAAAAAGAAACCGCCCTTATCTCGAAGAGGGAAAATTACTCAGTAATCTAACATACGATAAGGGTACAGACATCCCTCGGCATTGAATGATTTCTCCTCCTTATTTCATTGCAGTTGATTGGAATTTGATAAAGGTTCCTGTAGAGTTACGGAATGTCTCGTGCTACTCCACTGCCGGGATAGAGCCTCGCATTTGAGAGGGTTCAAAGAGTTCCTGTAATCATGTCGACCTTTCTCAGAATTCTGAAATCACTGAGTAAAAATTATGAACAAGTTATCTGTGCAGGATTAGCCAAATTAGAAATGAAGTCAGTGGCTTCTGCTTTACAAATAATTGGGTTTACAGCGTACAACTGACAAGAACAATAGCGTGCTAGCTATTATAAGTGGCTTGATCTTTGTCTGAAACGTGAAACACCTGACTTTGTTTTCATGCGTGGAGAAGTTGAAGCAATAACCGATATTCCAGCGGCGTTAGTTTTCAGGAGATCGAGGATACGTTCTCATATTAGTATGTTGTTGAATTAAACTGATCGAGACAACAGGGATCAGTGATAAAGAATTGAAAAACAACCTTAGCATTGATAGAATTAAGCGAGATTGTCGAAGTACCTCAAAAGAGTAGACACAGAAAGAGAGGAAGAATTCAGGGTTCCTCACACAGAGTTTTGATTCTTGCTTCTGTCGTTCCTATGTACGTAATAGTAAGCCTTTGAAACGTATATTTGACTCATCAGTTTGCTCATTAGAAAATGCCAACTACATCTTAGTAGCCGGGAGCTTTAAGAATTGAAACTTCATGCATAAGATCAGTATTTCCTTACGCAACCTTTAACACTCTAAAGTCATCGATCTGGCTGAATTAGCTGCACTTGCATCCACACACAAGAGAACTACACCCTTGGGTTTTCATACATCTCACGTTGAGTGCTTGTTTTGTGATTATCATTTTATTAAAACAATCCTATTGAGCTCATTCAAATAGTGACGAAAGCATTTACACATTCGTGTGGGTCAAATCACATGGCACACAACGCAAAAAACACTTGCACCCCTCCACGAATCTTTGAAATCTTGCGTATGAATTATAAGTTTCATTTTTGAAGGAGTATCCCACAGATATTTACCGATGAGCACTCTTTGGGCTCTTTAATAAGGAGTTTAGAGTAATGACTATCGATTACCAAGCCTTTTCTAAAACAATCATCCAATTTCTCTAAATTTCTAGCCATGGAGAAGTGGAATCCGTTACAAATGGCAAGTACTTTAGTGTAATATTCCTTCCTTTCAATCAATCGCTTTAAACTGCGATAGTTTTCTTATTTTTTAAGAGTTGTTAGGTCTAATAGGCGTTTTTTAAGAAAAAAAAAAAAGATTTGTATTTACCTGTAATTTAATGTTGTTGTCAACCCACATTACAAATCAACAATACCCAGCTGCGCAATGAGTAAAAAATCATCATTATGCGACGTGTACAAACAAGTTTTTCTCAGTCATTACCAAAATGAAAAGTTCCCATTGTTCAATTGCACCTCAGCATTCCCCTCGAAGGGCCCAATAAATTTTTCACGAATTTTGTCATGATTGATATTTATGATGTATCACCTGTCGGAATAATTTTCTAGCGGCAGGACTCTTCCGCTCTCTCGAGATCCTAACCAATAGTTACTATAAGGGGCCGAGTTAAAGTTAGGGATATCTCTTTATCTGTTTGGTAAGTATTTTGACTTAAAATTCAATTCAATTCATCCAATTTTTTTAGGAGAGTTTGATCATAATTTACATTTATATTTTAAAACTGCGTGCGCGTCGAACTCGCTAAATACGGATTCAACGAAAGATTGTTTTTGATCAGTTCTAAACGAAGTTTCTTATTCATTGTGGTCAGTAGTTACCTTGAGGGGAGACATTCAGTCGGCATGACCACAAAAATGCTAGATTCGAGTAAAATTTCTCAGAACGTGGAGGGTAAACAAAAACACTTATGCCTCACGACGAGGTTTAATTTTTTAATTTGTGAATTCGTTTCGATACATGTCAAGCATTAGGTATGATTAAAGATTAATAATTAATTACAAAAATACAAGAATATACACACACAAAAAGTCAAAATTTTACACACTCTCTCTCTCTCTCTCTCTCTATATATATATATATATATATATGTACTGTAACGAGCTTTTAGATTTTCATTCTATCTTATTTTTCTCTGCGTTCCCGCTATGCGTAGCTATATATGCGTTCACTTCAATGGCGCAAGTTAAAACAATCAGCGTAGCCTCTTTGTTGTAGTTTTATAGGTATCATAATAACACCTTGAAAATTGAAAGTGACTTTATATCAACGACACATGATATTGCAGAAAAGTGTCTAGATTAGAATTTTGTTTTTGTGTGCGTGTATGTATAATTAAAAAAAAAGGTCATCGAAATAGCCTCGTTATTCTGGTAGAACGTATCAGTTGACACGGTTTTCTCTTTTGGTGACTGAAAGACCTTAATGAAATGTTACGAAAACTGTTACCATGGGTAACATGAAATCGTTTTGCGAATGGCCAGAGTTTTTCCCCGCCAAGCCACGAACCAGAAATTTGGGAAAATTTATTTTCTTTCACCTTAGTTATATGTTTCGCTCTTCTAACTTCCCATTTAGCACACAAAGAAAATTCCTGTGGCAAAACTGCACAAACATTGCGTGATTCCAATGAATTTTAACATTGGTTCAAACAAAACATTCTTCAATATATCTTACTGAACTGATAAAATGTAATGTTAAGCTTTACCAGAATCTTTGCTTCTTGTCTTTATCCGGGATAGAAAGGGGAAGATTTTTTCAATAAGACGAGATAGAACCAACAGCAACATTTTCAGTCTTTTATTTAAAATCCTCAAGGCGAACTAGAACTAATTAATTACAACCCTTTTAATTTTGATAAAGAAAGAAATGCTAATATAGATTGCTTTACCAATTAAGGATGACTGCATGATGAGTGTTTCGTTTTAATATATTTTCTTAACAAACCGTGCTTTTATAGAAAGTTCTTGCTGTAAGTGTACTGAAATTGAGTTTTTTTGGCTATTTCAAGTTTACCAATCGAAGTCACTGCTATTTCACTGATTCAACTGAACGCGGATGAACGCCTGTA